AAAAAAAAAAAAAAAAGAATGAGCAAAGAAAGTGGTTTCTTAAAAAAAAAAGAGAAAGTGGTTTCTTGAGATGGAAATCTACTCCTGATGAAGATGCTATAAATATTGTTGAAATGATGACAAAGGATTTAGAATATTACATAAACTTCCATCAACGTGGAGCCAAGACCTTCCACCAGATTCACTGAAGGCTGAGACAATCATTAGCAATTTTTAGCAAAAAAAGTATTTCTTAATTAAGATATATACATTGTTTTTTAGACATAAGGCTAATGCGCACTTCAATAATCATAAAAGTGTAAGCGTAACTTTTATATTCACTGGTAAACCAAAATATTATGTAACTCGCTTTATTGTGATATTAAAGCAAACATCACTTTGTGACTGCTGGTCTGGAACCAAACTCCCTGTCTCTCAGGTACCTATACTTTCTTCTGTCTCTGTGACTCACTTGTTTAGGCAGCCACTCATTCACATTCCCTAGATACACCACTGCTGTCTACCAGTTAGCAACAGCTCTAGTCTTTTTTTTTTTTGAGACAGAGTCTCTCTATATTGCCCTTGGTAGAGTGCTGTGGCATCACAGCTCACAGAAACCTCAACTCTTGGGTTTAAGCGATTCTCTTGCCTCAGCCTCCCTAGTAGCTGGGACTACAGGCGCACGCCATAACGCCTGGCTATTTTTATTTTTTTATTGTAGTTGTCATAGTTATTTAGCAGGCCTGGGCCTGGCTCGAACTTGCCAGCCCCAGTGTATGTGGCTGGCACCATAACCACTGAGCTATAGGCACCGAGCCATGAAATCAAGTTATCAATAATGTGGACCAAACTCATCAAAAGTCTGGATCAAAATCCCATACAAATGCACTATATAGAAAATAAAACTAAACAGCATACTGACTTGGATGAAAAGCATATTTACCTATCCTTGTAAACATCTCTAAAACCCAAAGTCCCCCGCAATCCTACTGGCTGGCACAATTTGCCCTGTTCTATTTACCAATGCTCTCTTTTACACAATATTTGTTTCATCTTTCTTGGAGATGTATCTTAACTTACAAAGAGATGATATCACTTTTAGAGAAACATGAAGGGATAAGAGGAGAATCCTTTCATAAGGTGAAAAAAATCAAGCCCAAACCCATTCCACAAATACGAATTTCTTTAAAAACAAAATACTAGCTCAGCGCATATGGCTCAAGCAGCTAAGGCGCCAGCCACATACATCTGAGCTGGCGGGTTCAAATCTAGCCCAGGCCTGCCAAACAACAATGATGGCTGTAACTATTTTTTATAGCCAGGCGTTGTGGTGGGTGCCTGTGGTCCCAGATACTTGGGAGGCTGAGGCAAGAGACTCACTTGAGCCCAGGAGTTGGAGGTTGCTGTGAGCTGTGATGCCATGGCACTCTACCCAGGGCGACAGCTTGAGGTTCTGTCTCACAAGAAACAAAAAAAGAGAGAGAGAATTGCTTGAGCCTAAGTTTGAGGTTGCTATGAGCTATGACACCATGGCACCCTACTAAGGGCAACAAAATGTGGGTCTGTCTCAAAAAAAACTTGTTCAGAATATAGCAGCAGGTTCCTAAGCAAGCACATTTTTTTCTTATTGTTGCTGAGAAAGAGTCCCATGCTGTGCCCTGAGCAGAGTACAACAGCATCACAGCTCACTACAACCTCAGACTCAGGCTTCGGGCATACCACTGCCTCAGCCTCTGGAACCCACTGGGATTACAGACACTCACTGCAGCACCCGGCTGGGTTTTTCATTACTTTTTATGAGTCAGGGTCTCACTCTCGCTCAGGCAAGTCTCGAACTCCTGAGCTCAAGCAAGTCTCCCTCCTCAGCCTCCCACATTGCTGGGATTACAGGCATGAGCCACCGCACCCAGCATACATATTTTAATTGGTCCTAATATTAAACACCATTTCTTCTGTCCTTTCCCATAGGCCTAGACAAAACTAAGCATGATCTGAAGCTACTAAAAGGCCTATATACATTGTAATAAGCAAAAGGACCTCTGAGCAAAGTTAAGAGAGAAGGATCTACAGCAGCAATCTTCAACTGGTGTGCCACAGCAAACTGGTGTGCTGTGAGGGAATCTCAGGTATGCTTTGAAAATTTTTAAAGATCATTAAATTAGTTATTTAAAGATCATTAATTAGTTTTAAAAGAACTTGAAAGCACATAAGCATATTTTTTTCACTCTTTTTTGATCAACATAATTTAAGTGTGCCGCAGAAGTTTAACTATAGGTTCAAGTGTGCCGTGACATAAAAAAAAAGGTTGAGTAACACTGATCTAGAGACATTGCTAGAGGGTCTTAGGGTTCTCAGTCAGCATTTCCTGGTCATGCTGAATTTTTGCCTGCTATCTCAGATTAGGTACAGAAAAAGATGTCCACTTTTACTTCTCTCCATCAGTAAGAGCATCTGAACACAAAGCTTTATAGCTATACCAGATTTGACCAAGTGCAATCAAACAAAACTTTATGAACAGGAACCTATAAAAATGTTACCTACAAAAATGTACCTACCTTCATTCAAAGAATGCTAGAGGATAAACTGAAAAATATAGATAGTATGTTTTTTGATTTTCACCTCATTATTGAGTTTTTGTTGGGCCTATGACCTAACCTATAAATTTTAGGGCCTGATTAATGCTTACTTTCCATGGCTCCTACCATAGAGAGCCGAATAAGGCCTGAGAGTTCGGATGGAGATACAGACGAAGCTTTTATGAAAAGATACTAAATGAGGTGTGGTTTTTTTGGTTTTTGCCCTTTTCAGTAACTTTCAAATATATTTTGGCAGAAAGACAGGCCACACTTAGCATATTAAACAACAGTTTTGTCTGGAAACTTAACTTGTACTTTAAATTGGCCAGTAACTTAAATATACTTAAAAGTTCCCGTGCCTCAGTTCCCATTTGCTATAGGCTAAGGTTAAAAAAAAAAATTAAAAAGTACCTTCCCCCCTACACTTCCCCTACACAAGATCTCCTTTCCTCCTTTTCTCAACCTACCACTTGGAGAAGTTCTGCTCACCTTTAGAGCGTACCCTTTTGGGGGGCCACTCCCACTTGGATTATACCTTTAAACCCAACATGTCTATATACATTGGTACCACAATGGTTTCCAGATCCTTTACAGACTCTTTTTAAAATTTTACATACTTAGGAAGAATTCCCAATTATGTGAATTATACAAAGGTAACAAGGAGAAAACTCCACACTTTAACAAATTTTCATGGCAACAGACCTACTTTAATTTTCCAATTTATTTTCCCTTGACATTCCTGCTTTATCTGTTTACTTATCTATCTTATTTATTTTTCAAGACAGAGTCAGACTCTGTTGCCCCAGGCTAGAGTGCCCTGGCATCTGCGTAGCTCACAGCAACCTCAAACTCCTGGGTTCAAGTGATCCTCCTGCCTCAGGTTCCTAAGTAGCTGGAATCACAGGCGCCTGCCACCACACCTAGCTAATTTTTCTATTTTTAGAGACAGGATCTAGCTTTTGCTCAGCTTGTTCTCTGAACTCCTGAGCTCAAATGATCCTATCACTTTGCACCCCCAGAACACTAGGATTACAGGTGTGAGCCACCACACCCAGCCAATATCCCTGGTTTAAAAGCCCTATAATTCTTCCCTCCAAAATGATCTATGAAAAGTGACTAAAGAAGTTTTTCAGGTGAGTTAAAGAATAACAAAACGCTTACTAAACCCAAGCAGTTGGATTGTGCTGCTACCCAAAGTTAAGGAAATGGCCTTGACAGCTCCTCCTGTCCTTGAGCTCTTAGTACCAACTAATCAGTAGTTTTACAATTTGTACAGAATGTACATTTCATTTCATCCTCACACTAATCCTAGACCAGGCAGGGATCATTTGGCCTCATTTAATGAAATGAAGATGCTAACACTCCTAGGTTAACCGATTTGACCAAGATTGCTAATAGTAACAGTGCTGGCAGGACTTAAAACCCTCATCTTTTACAACCGAAGTCTAAGCTCTTCTGTTAATAGCATATAAAACTCAACTCCAAATCACCAAATGGCTTTTAAAAATGTTCTTTAACTCACCAACTACACAGATGATAATCTATGGAAGTTTTCTTCCTTGTAACTCATCACATTTTTTGGACGGTATTTTAATAACTAGAATTATATTTATTTTCTATTCTTGATCTACTCCACCACCTTAAGGCAAGCTAGAAAACGCTAAAATTTAAGTGTTGTAAACTATAAATAAAAACACCACTAATGTACCCAAAATGAAAATTTTTAAATGTCAGGACTAATTTATACATTACATTTTTTTTTTTTTTGAGACACTCTCACTATGTCGCCCTCGGTAGAGTGCTGTGGCGTCACACCTCACGGCAACCTCAAACTCTTGTGCTTAAGCGATTCTCTTGCCTCAGCCTCCCAAGTAGGTGGGACTACAGGCGCCGCACTAACACCAGGCTATTTTTGGTTTTGTTGCAGCTGTCATTGTTGTTTAGCAGGCCCGTTGAACCCCCGCAAACTACTCGCTGAGCTATGGGCGCAGAGCCTATACATTACTTCTCATACATACTCGTAGCAACTTTAAGGCACCATCCCAACAGATTTGGGTAATTGGGAGCTCGTATTTTTTAGCTTAAAATAAAAAATCTGCTTAGCTGCAGGGTAAATGTCAAAGGTCAGCCCCATGACAAATCTGTCTGAACCCCTTTCACAACCTAAACATATGTATTCAGGATAAAAGAGGGGGGAAAAAGCAATTAAGAATACTAACAGAGCCAATCTGCTGCCGATCTCAAAAAGTGCACCTGACTCCTCAGCTAGAGACGTGAAGAAAACACTAATCTACAGGTAATTCAAAGGGAATTTTTCCATGCACGGATGAGATACGGAAGAGAGGCGGAAGGAGAAAATACGGGGTCTGATCCAGGATGAGAGATGATACACTATCAGAGAGCTGACGTCGGGGGGAGCCCTGGACTAGGAGTCTGTACACCTGGTTCGAATGCTCACATTTGCTATCTGGGGAGCCTCGGCGAGCCTCAGTCTCTGGGCCTGTAAAATAAGGATAATCAAGGGCTCCCACCAGCCTCACCGAAGGCTCTGAGGCTCACCCGAGACAGACAACATGAAGTCATTTCGTAAACCAGAGCGCAAAGTACTGACAAGAAAACTGTTATCTAGCCCAGCAGCTGCAAGACCCCCAGGCGGAAGGCAGGTGGACCGCATAACCCGGAGGCAAGCAGGGGATGGAGCAGAACCGACCGAGTCGGCCCGTCCCCGCCCAGAACCAGCCCCGCGGCCCCAGAGAACCGCCTGCGTGTCACTTCCCCCCCCAGCCCTGCCAGGGCGGCCTCCGCCCGTACTTCCCCATCGTCCGCTCCAGCCCCTAGGGCCCCAGCTCTCTCCCGTGACGCTGCCCCCTAACTCACGGCCCGAGAGGGTTCCTCCGGCGGTGGCGGGCGGCTAAGACCCTCCCTCACTGCACACAGACAGCAGCACCCGGGACCGCCAGCTACTCGCCGGATATACGTCACGCCCCCCCCGCGACTTCCGGGCGCGTGCTCGTCCCCGCCCTTCGTTAGCATCACGTCGCTCTGCCCTAGTGCCGCCCTACCAGCGATTGGAGCTGCTGTTAGGGAGGTGTAAGGCGTGACTAAGCGTGCCCGGGGGCGGACCCCGACGTGGCCCCGCCCACCCCCGTAGGCAGGCCCCGCGAGACGTGGCAGTGTTGTGGCCCAGCGGGCGGGGCGCGGTCCTGGAGTGCCTAGGCGTCCTTGGGTGCTAGGGTGGCGGTGTCAGGTCTCCTAAGTTCCCTAGGTGCATCAGGCAAGTCCGGATTGGCGGCCGCCGTAGGTAGGTCCTGGGAAAAAAGAGCTGACCTTGGGGTCCTCGACCCTAAGATCGGTTTCACATTTTTCCTGCAGGGTGTCGCCTGTGTTTTAGAACAGCTATTATATCGTGCACTCAGGCTCCAGACAGTGCGCTCGGTATTTTACTCGTGCTGTCTCATTTAACCCTTATTACATTCCTATGAAGCAGATACTGTTATTATCTCTGTTTTACAAGTGAGAGAACTGAAGTTTACCATAGTCCAGTAACCAAGCCCAAGTTCCTACAGCTAAGAAGCAAAGCAACATGTTGGCCCCCACTATACTTCGCTTGCATTTTCCCACTCAATTCTGAGGACAGCCCTGTGAGATTGGTAATATTCCGTTTTGCAGAAAAGAAAACAGTCAAATTGAACTATAAATAATGCTTTTAAGTAGGGAAGACTCATTATCATGAAGATCTTAATTCTCCTTTAAAATTATAAATTTTAGGCTGGGCACGGTGGTTTACGCCTATAATCCTCGCACTTTAGGAGAACTAGAGGAGGCCAAGAGTGGAAGGTCTCTTGAGCCCAGGAGTTCCAGGTTACAGGGAGCTATGAATGATCACACCACTGCACTCCAGCTTAGGCGATAGAGCAAGATCCTGTCTCTAAAAATAAATAAATAGGCTCGGCGCCCGTAGCACAGTGGTTACAGCGCCAGCCACGTATACCAAAAGCTGAGAAGGTTCGTGCCGGGCCAGCTAAACAACAAAGACAACTGTAACAAAAAATAGCCGGGCGTTGTGGTGGGCGTTTGTAGTCTCAGCTACTTGGGAGGCTGAAGCAAGAGAATCGCTTAAGCCCAAGAGTTTGAGGTTGCTGTGAACGCTGACGTCACTGCACTCTACTGAGGGCGACAAAGTGAGACTCTGTCTCTTAAAAAATAATAATAAATTTAACATAACCCAATAAAAGTACTAATAGGATTAATAGGTTGTGTGTGGATTTTTTAACCACATTCACGTAATTTATTACAGTATATTGTTATAATTGTTCTATTTATTACTATTGTCAATCTCTTACTGTGCCTAATTTATAAATGAAACTTTATCATAGGCATTTGAGCATAGGAAAAATATAGTATATGTAGGGTTTAGTACTATCCGTGGTTTCAGGCATCCACTGGGAGCCCTGGGATGTATCCCCCATAGATAAGGGGGCACTACTGAGCTAGGGGAATTAGGGAGTGCTCTTGGCATTCATGCCTGTGGCAGGGAGAGTAGGAAGCATGTACAGAGGGAGAAGTTCACCTGTGATGAAGTTGCTAAGAAAACCTCAGCTGGCTCGGCGCCTATAGCTCAACCAGCTAAGGCACCAGCCACGCACACCTAAGGTGGCGGGTTCGAATCCCCAGCCCGGACCGCCAAACAACAATGATGGCTGCAACCAAAAAAT